TCCGTCCGTCCGTCCGTCCGTCCGTCCGTCCGTCCGTCCGTCCGTCCGTCCGTCCGTCCGTCCATCCATCCATCCATCCATCCCTCCGTCCATTCATTCATTCATGCATTCATGCATTCATTAATAAAGACATTCATTTCTTTTTTTCGTTTTATTCATTCCTCCAACTCTTCAGAAACAACAAAGCATGTACACGAGAACTGTCTTAGAGTTTTGCAGACTGAGATGACATTCAATCAGTTTTTCTGCTYACAGAGTCTATATTTCTTGCTGCAAGCAGGTCAACGAAGCCTCTACGATCAGACCCAAACCCAAGATAGCTAAAGCCTATATATTTAAGCAATTTTTTTCCCTTGATCAGGCCTTGGATCAGCTTCATGCTGAAAGAATCGGACACGGTTATCACATACTTGAAGACCCTGTGCTATACGATCAAGTGATCGAAAGGGGTATACACTTAGAGGTAATAGAGACGTAGATGCAATCATTAGCATTTCTTCCACAACATCAGTAGCTCAGCTAAAGAAAAATTGTTTAACTTTAGCCACCTTGAGGGAGCCTCCAAATAYCACGCGTGACGCGGAATTGTAAGCTTGGAAGCCGTCATGATAAAAAAGGGTTTTGGTGGACGTCAATCACAGTGTTTCCATGACATGTCGGAAAACACAAAGTTTTCAAGGGCACGTGGCTATGGAAACGCCTTGATTGACGTCAACTAAACCTACTTCCACGCGTGCTATTGAAAAAAGAAATAAAATAGGGAATTTAAAACCAAACGTATAAGAAAGATCTTGCACGTCAGGTGATTCCAGCGAAAGACAGGAAGAATAGAAACGGTTGCGCCTGTGCAAGAATTCATGAGATTTTGTTCACGTGATCGTGCAAAACTATAGTTGCGATTGGCTTCTTTCTAATGTACCAATAGGAAATCCTCTAATATATTTGATRTTTTTTCCACAGGTTTGTCCCACATCGAGCCTGCTTACTGGGGCAGTCAAGCCTTGCTTCGCTAAGCATCCAGTGCGAAAGTAAGAAAAACAATTTTTAAAGTTCTGGCTCACATTTTTTCAGTTCTGTCACATAGGGACGTGGATTGCATATCAGCTCTTTTTCAAACATGCTACCATTTTACGCGTCGAGAGAAAGCTTCAAGACATATTGCGCAACACTGCACCAAATGCCCGGGACTATGGGGGTAAGGGCTACGGTTGGGGGGGGGGGGGGGATCTATTAGGGGAGAGGGGTGAGAAACGCCTTCGTTTTTCAAGGAATTTGGAACCCACAGCATAGCTAGCCCAAACCCTGGAATATGACTGCTGGCAGAATTACTGGCTTTAAACTAATTATTATTTTCCTTTAGGTTTGCAGAAGACGGTATCAACTATTCTATTAACTCAGACGATCCGCTAGTCTGTGAYACAAATGAACAAAATGAATATAGAGTGGCGTACAACAAGATTGAACTCAACGCAGCGGAACTGACTAGAGCGGTAAGATACGCGGGCAGGTAAATYTTTCGTAAGAACAATGTTTAAAACTCTTTTATCTTTCTTATCTTGAAACAGACGTTCAACGCGGCTAAAGCAGCCTTCATTCCCGACGATGAAAAACGCCAGCTAATTGAATATTTGAAGGAGGTTCATGGGATACCTGGTGCTAAAAAACTACAGGAGATGGATGAAGACTAGCTGGTTTACTAGCAACYCCCCCATTTATCGATTGTAGGAAAAACCTCTCCTAATAGACATTAGTTAAGATGACGGTTCTTGGGGCTGGTTGGATGGATGTGTCGTCATGTGACTTCAATGTGGTGATTCTGGTTGGTTAACTATGTCGTCACGTGACTTCAATGTGGTGATTCTGGTTGGTTAGCTTTGTCGTCACGTGACTTCACTTTCTTGGTTTTTGAATGGAATCCAAAAAAACCACATWCCTTATGTGTGATGTGGTAATGATGAAAGTATTCCGATTCCCCTCGATCCAAAACATATTCATTTTATCGATTTTCGTATGYACTATTTTGATTGAGGTCCACTGATTTACGTCTACTGCCTGCCTCGCCAGTGGATGGAGTCTGTGCTAACTCTAATTTATACTGATATTATTTTTATGTGTTACGCGGCAACGAAAAAAATAATACTATAAATGAGAATCGCATGATAAAAGGAAGTTTGAAGCATTACACTCTAGGTATTAATATCATCTTAATATATTTTACATTTCGATGTCTCCAAAAATATTTGAAATACTAAATTCAAAGTTGTTTTTTTTGATATACGAGGAAATATCTTTCTCGTAGGAAAATCAAATTAGCTCAACAAACAGGGGTTAATATGTGAATAGCACTTTTAGTGTCGAAACCAAAATATTATGTATTTTTAAAATGACGAGGTTTGACGTTTTAATTTTTTGTGGGTTTACATCTAAAGTTCTTTTATTTTATCATAAATTAATTTTTAGTTTCCTTTAATGTTTAGTGAAATTGCACTTTGGAATGCTGCCTAAACCATTGCAAGTGTGTTATTTGAGAACATTGAAATGGCTTTTTTAAAATCAAAATGGCTTCCCATGAACATTGCAATGTTGTTGCCTTTTGTGTACAGGAGCGACAAAATCAAATCAGTTTACATTGTCGAAAACATTAAATATACCAAATTATCCATGAATCGATAAGCATGGATTTGTAGGAATACTCATTATTAGTTAAGGCTGCGTTCAT